CCCCGCCTATCCTATTTCTAATTCCTTAATACCCCCCTAGTGGAGGGAGATGGAAGCTACAAGGTCTCACTCATCTCACACAAAAACAAAGAAGAAAAAACAAAAAACAAAATCCAAGATCTCTTTTTCATGATGTTTCTACCCTTCTTTGCCTAGACTTACATGAGTTTTTGTAATTTACTAGATGTCAGAAAAACTTTCCAAGGACTCTAGATTTTACAAAATTCAGAATATCGAACTAACAAGAAGCAAGTTACTCCATCCTCATAATTAAATTAACTTCACAAACCCACTCTCTAATCTGCGGTATTGCTGGTGATTTCCAATACTGCGGTATCAGTGTTCTAGCTGCCACCAAAAGATGTTGCAGAAGGCATCTTTTGCCCCTCCTGATATCTCCCGGTATAGTTGAAAGCAAGGCTATTTCTGGTGTTACTGACCAATGTGTCTCAATGAGCTGCTCACTTATATTAATCATGGATTCCCAATATGGTCTACTCTGTTTACATGACCACCAGATATGTAGCATATTTCCCTCTTCATGTCCACATCTCTAGCTTTGCTTAGGTATAACTGGATACATTCTATGCAGGGTGCAGGGGTGTGGAAATAAAAAAAAAAAAAACTACGTGTCCAAAGACTAAGGCGGGGGCCCAATCTACTTGTCCCTCATGATGATCTACTTGTCCTGATATAATAATTTTTTTAAAACTAAAACAGTATTTAGCAGTGCTAAGAAGCGCTTCTCTTTAGTCAGCACCGTCAGGTGACCTCGCTGACCAACGAGTGCTTGCAATTTGCGAGCGAAATTCAGAATACATGGCACAGGTACAGATAGTACACCCATACTGGTGGACGAGAAGGACCGTTCGGTGAAAGGTAAGCATAGCAGTGAAGGAGAGGGGGTCAGATTTGTGCGGGCAATTTCATTTTCCCAAATTACTTGGGAAAGTCAATTTACCCTTTAACCAGCTCCCGTCCGCCGATCGTTGAAAGACGGCCGGACGGGAGTCTCCTGGATGCGGGTGGGCGTCTTTAGACGTCCTTCGTGCCCGTGTGCCCCCTGGCGCGCACGAGCTGGAAAGCGCCTGGATTTTAAACGGCCAGTAATACATACAAGCGGTCCAGCGTCTGTGAAGACGCCCAATCGCTTGTATGATGGAAGTGAAGGTGCGCCATGGCTGTCCCCGCCGCCGCGATCCCGGGCGATGTGTCTCTGTGCACTGAGAACAGAGGGAGATCAGAACCCGATCTCCCTCCGCTCTCTGAATGCAGGAAGTGATGTATATTACATCACTTCCGCATTCCTCTGTCACTCTCCGGTACAGAAACCAGAGAGAAACTGATGAAGCAGATCTGTGATTCATCAGCTTCTCTGGGGGTCCCTAGGTCTTAGAGACCCCTGATGTCTCCATAAAGGGGACCTGTAACTGTACTGTATTACATAGGGTACTTATTAGCACCCTATGTGATAACAATAAAAAATTGGGTAAAATAAATGTTTCCTAAAATAACAAAGGGAAAACCATTAAAAAAAAAAAATATTCGGTACTTTTTTGTTATATAGTAAAAAATAAAAACCCCAGTGGTGATTAAATACCACCAAAAAAAAGCTCTATCTGTCCCCAAAAAATGGTATAAAATTCATTTCAGTACAGCGTTGCATGACGGAATAAACGTAAGCCAAAGTACCGCAGTACTGAATACTGAAAAATGGCCTGGACAGGAAGGGGGTGCAAGTGATTAAGGCCGTGACACACTGCACGCGAAGCAGTGCGGAGCGGTGGCGCGCTGCCTTTGTGAGTAGTGTGTCATGTCATTTTCTCCTCGGCAGCTCAGCTTGCAAGAGCTTGCGTAGCTGAGCGTGCCGAGATTAAAAATGTCATCTTCAGCCAATCAGCTCGTGCGTATAAACCAGCGCGTTGGAATGCAACATCTGGCTGGATGTTACGGACGAGCCGATTGGCTGAAGGTGCAGTCAATCATCTGACTGCACTCAGCTCACACACTGCACGCAAAGCTCCGTGCCGGATAGCTTTGCTTCGCTCTGCACGGCTTTGCGTGCAGTGTGTCACGGCCTTTAGGGCGGGTGCAGACTTGGGTGATTTCAATGGGGTTACATCCACGTAGTAAATCGCTGAAAAAAGGTACGTGTACCTTTTTTCGCAACACGCACCATGCAGTGTTTTTACACAGGCGGTATTGCGGCGGGAAAATGCGCAATCTGCCTGGCGCGACTGGGGTGCCACTAGAAAATAATGCCACTGCCAGCGCGATCGGCGGTGGTGTGCGATTCTGCGACCGCCCGGCCATCCGCACTATTTCATGCACGATTGCCACGTGTCACCTCCAACACAGGAGTTCTAGTACAGGACTGTGCCCATTCTCCTGTGACAGGAGAGCTGCAAGCCTTCCTGTGTTATTGCTTACACGGAGCAGAGGAGAGAAGCGTTCTCTGCTCTGTGCTCTCTAACCTAATTTGCAGTGGTCCCAGGTCCCCCAGAAGAGCGGGGACTAAATGTAGAAAAAAAACTGCCCGGCCGGAACTGCCTGTCCCAGGCATTAGGCGATAGGAATGCCACACCCGAGGGTGGTCGGACACCTATACCATAGTGAAATTATTTTAAACTTTGAGCTTAAAGGAGAACTATGGGGTCAGTGTTTTTCCCCATAGTTCTCCTTAGGGTAACGGGAGGACACAAACTAGTGTCCTCCCGTTACCCTAAGCTCAGTATATACTGAGACGCCGCAGCCGGAGCGGATCCCGACTTAGATGACCGGATCCGCCCAGCTGCGCGAGTGACAGCTGGCTCTGCCTATCTAGAGGCAGAGCCAGCTGTACCCGCCCCCTCCCCCGTCCGTTCCGCCAGTCAGCGCTGGCAGATCGGAGAGGGGAATCCAGCCCCTCCCCCTGTCACGGCAGAGAGCCGTGACAGGATCAAGAGGTGAGCGAACCTGGTATGTGTTCGCTCACCTCCCGATCTACTGAGCCGACCTGTGACAGTCTCATTGTCACAGGTCGGCTAGAACTATGAGGTGAGTGGAAATCACTCATCTCATAGTTCTCCTTTAATTCAAAATACCAGATCTAAATGTTAAAGCAAAAGATAGATTACAATCCTCTGCTGCGATTTCGTGTTCCAGTTTTCGTTCCCACATTCTAATATAATATGGGCAATTAGGGTAATCCTGCTTTAGTAATATATTGTACAGTAAAGAAATATTGTAGGTCCCTCCTCCCTTGTTTACACACAAATCTTCAAATACTGTCAATTTGCGCATCATATTCCCTCTTATAGACAGTGACATAAAGAATGTTTCAATTGGAGGTACTGTAACCATCCCCCCCACCCCACGATATGTCCTCCCTACTTCCTACTATATGATAAAGGCCACAATCCATTTTTCATTAATGCTGGTCTAATTGGAGAAGGTTCCGCTTTTGTCCACTTCAAATACCCTAATGAGTTCCTACCAGGGGGGAAATCCGGGTTACCTGAAATAGGCATAAGAGGGCCCACACAGGATGACACGTTAAGGGAACGGATCGCCTGATCCCATATTGTTAGCAAATTCCTCACTAATGGCAATAAGTCTTTCTGGGCTAACCCATGGAATAGAAAAAAAGGAGGTATTGAAGTAGCCTCTTGTTTAATTACCACCCATAATTTGGTATAATTTTCATGCATCCAATCTAACATACGTCTCTGGACTGCAGCCATATGGTATAGTTCCATGTGTTAGAGCCCCGCTCACCCCTCCTGCCTACACATTTATATTTAATAAAGATTGATCTCAATGATCGAAAGAATGTCCATGGCAATTCAATTGGTATGGTTTGAAATAAAGAAGGAAAGCGTGGTAAGATATTCATTTTTAATAAAGCTATTCTTCCCATCTAGGAGTGACTTTTTGAGGCTCATAGTGTCAATTTGTACTGTGTGGAATCTAACAGGGGCAAATAATTAAGTTCGTACATATGTGTAGCCCACACTGGTATCTGGATGCCCAAATATTTAAGAGATCGTTCACCCCTTTTAAAATGGAAAATCAACTTGATGAAATTCCCGCTCTTTACTTGGTAATTAAACATCCAAACACTCTGTCAAGAAGCCAGAGCTAGAGTTCATGTTCAGCGGTTTGCGCATGCTCCTGGTGTTGCTCATAGAGCTGTACCAGGTGCAGAGTCTTTGTGTGGACATGCGAGTGTACGTGCACGTGAGCGTGTGCATTGCCGGGTGCGCACGGGCATGGGTAGAGTGTTGTTATAGGAGGTACTATGCTATTAGCTTTTATATGCATGTCCATATTGTTAACTAATAAAGCTATTTTTTTAAATATAATTTATTGTTTGGTTGGGTCATCTGGTGCCTAAAACCCCCCACTTTTCTTCATTGTCTCTTTAAATTATGCGCGTATAAAAGTGGTTTTATCCCCGTGTCCCAATCATTACCCCCAACCCCATCTCTATCCCTCCCTCCCATGTGCCCATCTCCCCCTATCTAAAATCCCCAGAAATAGTTATTGTATTCCATTATACACTCTACCCTCCAGCTTCTCTATAGTGATTCCCCTGTGACCAACCAACTTAGAGAATTTTTCACAAACCCTCCTAATTATTTAATTAATTCCCTTCTCTCCCCATAGAGGAGGAGCAAAGCGAGAAGAGAGGAAAAGAAGAAAAAAAACACTGAAATAAAAAAAAAAAAAAAATCTTAATTAATTTCAATAATCTTCCCTCCCCTACTTGATCTTGATTTTTCTCTTTTCTTTTTTTCATGTGTGTTTTAAAATGTCACTGGCTGTCTCTTTAGAGATTATTTTCCATACATCTTGGCTTTGGCAAAATTCAGTTGCCACGGGCTCCATCAGCTTCTTTCAATTGCTCCCAGGTCCTCCTATACCTTCTCCATCTTTCCGATGTCCACTGGGGTGTATCAACTTCCACTGCTCCCACCCTAGGACCTGAGGCAAATCTGGACCTGCATGGTCTGCCCGAGCCTCTATTTCCAATGCTGGCAATCCCAATACTTTAGAGAAGCCGGGTATATCTTCCAGTGTGCGCAATGTATGCAACCGTCCATTTCTCCTTACCCGTAGGTGGAATGGGTATCCCCATTGATAGGCAATACTCGCATCTCTCAGTGCTTGGGTCAGTGGGCGTAAAGCTCTCCTTTTTGTCAGAGTCCTCCACAATAAATCTGCAAACAACGCAATTACGGCACCATGATAATTCACGGATCTCTTCTCTCTTTCATTGTTTATAGAAATGCACTCTGCACAATACACCTCACTCCTGTGTTTCATCCATCCAATGTTTATTTGGAATAAGGTGCACTCTATTAATCTCTATATATTCTGCTTTTGTATTATCTAAAAATTATTGAAAATGCCTTCCACTGACTTTGAGAGCTCTTCTGGTCGCGTTGTCTCTTTTTATTCCTCTTATCGTAATGTTGTTCCGGCGCTGTCTATCGTCCAGGTCATCAGCAAGTGATCTCGGGGTCTTAACCCCTTCACGACCTATGACGGGATAATCCCATCATGAAATCGGAAGGGGTGACACAGAATCCCGGCAGCTTTTAGCCACCGAGAGTCTGTTCCGTTTTGTAGAGCCAGCGACCGGCTTTACAGTAGAAGCGATTCTGGCAGCTCAGCTGTCGCCAGATCGCTTCTACGATCTGGTAACCGGGCCGCCCCCCCTGCCCGACACCCCCGCCTTGTTTCCCGGGCTCCGTTGCCCTCCTACGGGCCCGGCTTGCTGGGTGTTGGTGGGAAGCTGGGGAGGAGAGCGGCGAACCTCCGTGCACCGGTCCCCTCCCCGTACTATGGGACCAGGAGCGACGCGTATTGCATCACTCCCATAGATGTCAGTGCCGGGCTCCTGAACGGGCTGCAATTCAATAGCTTATTTGGAGTGTAAAGGTGATACTAGGGGTCTTTTGGACCCCCAGCATCACCTTGAAGAGTACCTGCCACTGCCAATATGCTATCACATAGGGGGCTTGTAAGCCCCCCCTATGTGATAAGACTTCCAGTTTCAGCCTGTCATTTCTCTGCCTGCTGTTTTACAAAGATTTTATTGGATTCAAAAGGAGTAGAAAACAACAGATAAAATACAGGAAAAAGAAATGGAAATCAAGGTAGTAAAGGAACAAGAAAAAAAAAGAAGGGGGGGCTGTGTTATTTAACAAACTTACATGGGAATCATAAGACATCAGTGGTAACCATAGTAATACAGGTAGTAGTCAGGAACAAAAGATACAAAACTGAAGACACATCATGTAGATCATATCTACGAAACTGTCCTCTGCCATCTGACCCATGTTGAAAATTAGAAATATGATGTCTCCAGCTGCTGTAGCCAGAGAAGAAGCTGGTGAAGCAAGATTTCTGCTTCATCAGCTTCTTTGGGGTGCCTAGGTGATGTTAGGGGTCTAATAGAGGACCTGTCACTGTATTTGTGCTATTACATAAGGGGCTTGTTAGCCCCTGTATGTGATAGCATAAAGAGGACCTGTTTTAAGTGTAAAAAAAAAAATACAAAAATGAAAGACTCCTATTTTTAAAAAATTAAAAGACACAAAAAAAGTGCCCCGCCCCTGCGTGCACGCACATCTAAATGTAACTACACGTCGGGTGCGCCTACGTGCGAAAACATGTTAGCCCATGTAATAGCAATAAAATGTAAAGAAAAATTAAAGTCATATATAAACAAAAAGATGGAGAAAATCCCCCGCACCCACGTACATACGAATGCAAACACGCTTCAGGTGCGCCTACGTATGAAAACAACGTTGCATACATGTCGCCGCGAATGTCGGAGTGAGAGCAATAATTGTAGGGCCTACAATCACTGTTAACACTAATTTGATGAGCAGTAAAAGCTTTTAAAGTATCGCACATGTTTCCTACCCGACGTGACCCCGTCTTTTAGGTTTTATCAAAAAATTGGGGTGATAAATGTTTCATTATTGTAACCAGGGTAGTTGCGCTAGGATATATTTACAGAAATTAACCAGCTGCAGCAATATCTATCAACGTGATCAAGTGTAAGCCGGGGTGCTGCGCATTTTTCAACCAGATTTTATTTATTATTCACAATATAACTTGTTTCCACACGACAATATTTTATTTATTTACATATGTTACACATATTTTGCGATATTTACATTGTTAACATAATATTTAATATTTATTCACGAACACATTTACCTTCCTTTTTTCGACTTGTATTTCCAGTATACAGCCGCAATTAGGATTTGATCAGTGGCACTGTATTTAGTTTGTGATATTTTCACATTTTCACACAACTTAAAGACCAATTAAAAGGTGGATCACACACAACAAAGCGCAGCACCCCGGCTTACAAATGTTTCATTACATTTCATAGGGAAACAGGGTTTTTTTTCAAAATTTAAAAAAGGTACTTTTTTTATTATATGGTCAAAAAAAAACAAACAAAAAAAGTGATTAAATACCACACAAATAAAGCTTTGTCTGTCCCCAAAAAATGGTATAAAATTCATTTCAGTACAGTGTTGCATGACGGAATAAATGTCAAAGTACTACAGCGCTGAATACTAAAAAATGGCCTGGCCAGGAAGGGGAAAACCCTGGTCTTTTAGTGGTTAATCAAAAGAAAGCTCTATCTGTCCCCCAAAAAAATGTAAAATTAATATTGGTACGGCTTTACATGACTAACTAAATGTCAAAGTATCTTAGCACTGAATAATGAAAAATGGCCTGGACATGAAGGACAGTTTAACAACCCTGGTCTTCAAGTGGTTAACTAGAATCTACCATGACAGGAAAAAAAAAATTCGGGAATAACTCTTGCAACTTGGATAAAAAAAAATTTGTGATGGTCAGCTTTATCCTCCAACTTAACTGCATAGCTAATCACCGATTCAGAACAAGTTTAGACTTCTGACTTTATTCCTGCATACATGAGACATCAATGACAAGAAAGTAGTGAAACTGGGTCACAGCCTGGAAACTGCAAGTTTTAAAACACAATATAAATATGGGAGTTTTTATTTCCAGTCTAAAAGATCCCTATTAGGAAGGAAATATTTTAGTACTGATCACAAGAAAGTATAAGATCAGATTATGTTTGCAGTAGGGATGCACCGATACCTTTTTTCGATATCGAGTACCACGGCTCTCGACCTTATATCACAACCCCTCCGCTAGAGTCATGTATGCAGGACACTTCTCGGATACGTTCCCAGTCTCCCGGGGCACGAGGCAGGGTTGTCCCCTCTCCCCCATATTATTCATCCTAGCTATTGAGCCCCTAGCCATGCTAATCCGCAATAACCCTTCCATCAGAGAAGAGTTTGCAGGGATCTCCTCAAAACTTAGCCTGTTCGCCGATGATATTCTCCTTACCCTGACCCAACCCCTGATATCCCTACCATCCCTCTTCAATACTCTGGAGGCATTTGGGAAATTATCTGGCCTTGTAGTTAACCAATCTAAGTCTCTGGCCCTAAACGTCTCCCTCCCCCCGCCAGATGTAAACCTTCTCAAAGAAAATTTCACCTTTGCGTGGGCTCAACATTCTATCCCATACTTAGGCATACACTTGTCCCCATCCTATGACTCCTTGTATGCGGTGAATTATATACCCCTATTCCGCTCCCTTAAAAATCTCTTGTCATCCTGGAATAACCTACATATCTCCTGGTTGGGCCGCATACATGCGGTCAAAATGACCCTACTTCCAAAATTACTCTATTTTTTCCACACCCTACCAGTAGCAATTCCGAATTTTGCCCTCCGATCAATGCAAAACCATGTTATGTCCTTCATATGGCACGACAAACGTCCCCGAGTACCCCGGAAAACGATGTACTGTCATCGCTGCCAAGGGGGGCTAAAATAACACAAAACCTAATTCGCTAACTGCCTTTTGGATGGTGGAGCCCGGATGTAGTCACCACTCCTCTTCTCTTTCCTTCTCTCTTCTTCTCTTTTCTTTTATTTCCTTCTTCCTTATTGCTCCCTCACCACATTTTACTTATCGCCTAACATATTCCCTCCTCGACTTCTACAATCCCTTGGGGTAAACCCATACCCCCCCCCCCCCCACCACTATCCTGAACCCCTCCCCCACAAACAACCACTTGTTCTGATGAGTTGCAGCGACAATCTGCATTATCCCCTCCCCCATTTTTTGCTTATGCCTACTGTAGTATGCCGCCCAATGTAAGGGCGAACTGTTGTCATTTACCACTACTATTCCTGACTGTTAACTGTATACATTATGCTTTAAAACCCAATAAAACAAATTGGAGAACTATAAAAAGGATTATTTATGAACTTTGTATATACTTTAAAAGTATATCACTTTGTAGATATGAATATATTATGAATTTTCTGTACAGTATATAGTGTTGGAATGAGAGTTTAACTCTATAGTGGATG